AAACTATTCTAGTTTCATTTAGCCATCTGGCCTGTATTCTCCTTAGTCTCTATCTCTCCCTTCCTGTCTGTCTTCCTTCCTTCTCTCTTTCCTCAAATGCTTGATGAGCATTGTCTACTTTCCAAGCACTGGTCTAGGGGTTGAGGATAGTGCAAAATGAATGTGTAGGGAAAAGAATATACCCAACCACTGAAGTACTCAGATATGAAAAAAAAAAAAAAATAAAATAAGAGACACCACTATAGAAAATGGTCCTTTACAATGAAATGAATGTGTAGGGAAAAGAATATACCCAACCACTGAAGTACTCAGATATGAAAAAAAAATAAAATAAAATAAGAGACACCACTATAGAAAATGGTCCTTTACAAAGCTGCCCCACTCTCATAGTTTCTTACATTTTGATTTGGTCCAGGGGCTTTATATAACAGCCTTTATCCTAGCGTGTTTTAATTGTAAGTGTTAATTAATTTTTACTTTACTGGATTAAAGTCCTTTTAAGCTCAGTGGCTACAATGTTAATTTTCTTATATTGTTTGGTGAGTAAATAAAGGAAAACAATATAGGAGAGATATTTTTCTTCAAATTTTCAGTGATCTAGTCTAATTAGCTATGTGGTAGCTACTGCTTTACCCCACAAAATCCTGGTAAATTGGCTCAGATTTTGAGATTTACAGTGGGAAATTCTAGAAGAGTTAAAGTAGAAATCAAGATATGAAAATGAACCAATGCAAAGCCAGAAATGAGAATGTGGGGTTATGGACACCAGACAAGGAGGGCTAGATAAGAAAGAGGAGACATTGAGAACACTGGGAAGGGGAAATGACAGAGTGCCAGAGACAAAGGGGTAATGGGAGGGAGGAAGGCTGAGTCGGGTAAATAAACCAAAAGAATCCACTAGGTTAGAGCAGACTAGAAACTGAGCAAGTGTTTAGTATCACACTTTTAATTTACAAATGTGGAAATAAAAGCTCAGGGAGGTGAAGTGCCCTTCCAGAATCACATAGGGGCTTTTCCAAGGTGGTGTGAAGAAGCTGAGAGCAGGGAGACCAGCTGGAAGCCAGGGATGTAAGAGAAAGTCTAGAAGTCAGGGTTGGAGGAGAAATGAGACACAGAGTGGGAAGCTAAGGGCTGTGGGAGGCACATTTTTTTCTCTCTAACACAATTTGAATGAGGAAGAGATTTGTCAGTTGGAAGAGAGAGGAAGTCACTCTAAAGTACTGAGAAAAAGGTTCGCTGAAATCAGAGATCAAACACCAGCTCTGAGAGTCAGAAGTTATATCTCCCAGTGAAATGCAGCTTCTGCCACTTCTACTGCTGGTAGTTTTCTTCCCAGGTGGTGACAGTGAGGACGGTAAGAGTAACTGGCAGCCCTGAGCAATGGCACAGGGGGATCTGCATAAAAGCATTCTGTGCTTACCTAGGTGCACTGGACACTAAGGTCTGGGCCATCCTGTCTCCAGCCCTCTTCCACCATCCTGGAGGCTGGGGGTGGAGCCTGAGGCTCTGGGAAACCAAATGTGTAAGGCTTTAGCTGTTCTTCAGATTCTTGGTTCTTGTTCTCTGGATCTTTTCTATTTCTATTGTTTGTCATTGCTCACCATTTTATCCTCCACTCTTCACAGCCTTCCAGGGGCCAACCTCTTACCATGTCATCCAGATCTCGACCTTTGCCAACAGCACCTGGGCACAAACTCAAGGCTCAGGCTGGTTGGAAGATTTGCAGATTCATGGCTGGGATGGTGACTCAGGCACTGCCATATTCCTGAAGCCCTGGTCCAAGGGCAACTTCAGTAATGAGGAGATTACTGAGATGGAGGAGATATTCCGAGTCTACTTCTTTGGATTCATTAGGGAAGTGCAGAGCCGGGCAGGTGAATTCCAGATGGAATGTGAGTTCATTCCTCTGACAGGGTGGGATACTCGATGACTTTTTTTCTCTCTTGGTTCAGGCCCCTAGTCCCTCTGATTCTTCTCCCCTCCTTCCTACTTACCCACCTGCAGGCACAAACTCTCTAGGGTAGTCTCTCCACACCTCCACAAAGCATCTCAGCTTCTTGTTCTCTCTGCACTATTCTCTGATAGATGAAGGCTCTTCCTTTGTAACCAACACGTTTGTCTCACGTGAAATTTCCTCCGAAAGGGTCCTTGCTTCTCTTAACCATGTGCCCGAGTGACCTAAAGTGCGGCTTCCTCCTCTTCATTTCTCCCTCTCTTCATTCTTCTCCATTCTCCTCTTCGATCAGTCTCCATCCATTTAAACTTCTCCCTGAACGCTCCTCTCCATGTGATCCTCAGGTTCACTCTGGAG